AGGACATATGACAGAACATTTTGGCAAAGTTTGAATAAGTTTCAGTTTGGGGGCTGGAGGGGGCGACCATTTTACTAATATAGCCGTTTGGAAAAGCCCTGTAGAAAAAAAGAATTTTTTTATCTCAGAAATCTTCAGTAGTAATTGACCACTTTTTGTTTTTATAGATCGGTAGCGGACATTAGGCAAATTTATAATATATATCGTTTTTGGTTGTCACGTCAATGTATTTTGTAAAAAAAAATGTGTGTTATATAGATGGCGCTATTTTCAGGCTGATTTTTAATTATTTTCAGTTAGCTCATTTTTCACTCTACTTGAACTTTGTAGTAAAACTTTAAATGCCATTAAGTAGTCCATAGTCCGAAGTAAATCTAGCACTAATTGAATCTTGCAAAAGTGCACTTTCGATTTTGCACCTAATGTCCACCTGGTTGCCCATAGTGCCAGGTCCGTGTACCCTCTTTCAGGGCTTTGGATGGGTCAAAATGATATTTTTCGGTTTTGCAAAGAATTTTATGGACCATTCCATCCAGGACCAAGTCCTGATTCTGGCTAGATAGCAATTTTTGAAAAATAATTAGGACCAGAAAATGGCGTTATAAGGACATGTCCTGCGTTGAAAATGCTCAGTATAAAACCCTTCATGCGGCACTTTGTAGTTGCTCAGCAACGGTTTAAGGCGAAATCCTTTTCTTACGGAGTTAAGGTAAGTGTTCCGAGTTTGTAGTTGCGGGAAGATCCTTTTTTGTTCTATAGAAAATCGTTTTTTAGTGTTATCTCAAGATTATAAAGAAAAACTAAATACAGTGAAAACTTGGATAAAGTGTTTGCATAACATATTGCTTTCAATGATTTATTGTATGTGTTTGTTGTCGACGAATTTCTTCCTGCTGATCATATTCTTGTTGCTGATCACGCTCTAGCAAACCATTTATAAGCACCTCAACAACAGCAACATTAAACTCCAGTCCCAGCCAGAACGTGGCTTGTATAATCAAAAACCACCATTCTGACTTTAGCTGATTATCGTGCGTATAGTGCTTTAGATGCAGTACTTCTTCTGATAAAGCAAACCAAATTAAACCAAAATTCATTGCTATTAATAAAACATAAGAGATGGGCGAGCGTTGTAGTCGATCACAAAGTGATTTATTCAATAAAAAGATAAATTGAATTAGATTAAAAAAACTATCTATAAATACCGCTCCCACTGTGATTGCTGGAGTCTTACAAGAACCATCTGAATGATTACTAAACCATTTTATAACACAAACACTAACAATCAGTTTCGATCCAGCAAAAACCCAAAATGCGCGTTTCTCAATACCATGGATCTTTATTTTAGCTACCGCTGACGTATTACAACAATTACACATAAAACTCGCGATGAGAACCCCAACACCAAATGTTGCTATCATACGAAATATTCCATATGTGCATTTGGTATTTATCCGACCACTTGTATCTGATAATTCAATTCCATGTGTGCTATTGGAATTTATCGGACTGTTTGTATCTAATACATCAATTCCATACATTATACCTACTAGAAACAAAGCGAACACGACGGCAACCCATATTTTACCATTTAATTGTTCCGGTTGCATGGAGCGTGTCTCTCCTACAAGAATAAGCAAGGTAAAAAACCGTTTCTCCAAAAGACGATTCGCCAAAAGACAATTCGCCATGGCGAAATGTCATGTGCCGTTTCGCCAACTGGCGAAGTGTCATGTGCCGTTTCGGCAATTGGCGAAGTGTCAATGCCGTTTCGCCCAGAATTTGTACAGTTTCACCAATTGGCGAAATGGCACATGACATTTTGCCAGTAAATGGTTAGAACACCGTAAATTGTTATCAGTACCTAAGTTAACTTCGGAATCTCACTGATTCTAGATCCCTAACTTGACTTTGGTATCGCTATTTAAATTATGATAATACATATGTAAAGAAACTGTCGCTTGACTATAGGGAAAATATTTTAAAGAGGAAAGAAGCGGAAAACTCATCCGACTATCCTTTCTTTATCTCTATAAGTCACACTTATATGTATTTTTTCTTCCTGTCCATTTTCCGTGTCCTTCCTTATCTCTCTCTATCTCGCCTCTTAATTCTTTTCTTTTAATCTCAGCCCGTTTACATACGAAGACTGTTCAGCTGTTCATCTCCTTAAACAGACGAACAGACCATGGAATATCGAATTTGTTTTTAGTTCGTTTAGTTTATTTGAAAATATATATTTCGAGGGAGGTTTCCAGGAAATTGTCTTCTGGCGAATCGTGCTCTGGCGAAACGTCAGAGATTCCCCAGAATTTTGCGTACACAAAAGATGGTAAAAAACCGTTTCGCCAAAAGACAATTCGCCATGGCGAAATGCCAGTGCCGTTTCGCCAATTGGCGAACGGCACATGACACTTCGCCAATTGGCGAAACGGCACATGACACTTCGCCAATTGGCGAAACGGCACATGACACTTCGCCAATTGGCGAAACGTCCCATGACTTTTCGCCACGGCGAATTGTCTTTTGGCGAAACGATAGAGATTCATAAGCAATGCGAAAAAAACTGGATTCCTCAATATTTTTTTAAATATTTACTTATATCGCAATTTAAAGCTAGGAATTTAAATACTAACAATACTCTTCGCATAATAAGTAACCCGTGTTAAGTGAAATAATTTCTTTTTCTATTTCTAGAACCATTTAGAGCTGGTCGGAAAGGGCGCTATCTAGTTGTTGGCACTTTTAATGCCGTCTCCCACCTTTTTTGCCGATATTGATGTTCTATGGCAGCATTTTAAAAGCGCCACCTTTTCGTGAACTTCTCTCTTCATCTTATCTAGTGGTGCTTCTTCCAAACAGCCCATTGAAAGTCGGTTTATGACCCAGTCCATAAAGACTTCATAATTCTACTAAACTAGGAGTGTCACGTTTACATTAACTCGGGACGAACGACTAGCTTACGCAAGTTGTTGGTTAATTGATTACTAGCAACATCAGTTAGACGTTGGTACCAAATAACGCGTGATCCAAAAGTTCTTGCAAAATATCACTTCATTTTTCATTAACCGCACCATAACACGCTTTGGAAAAATAAAACATATCTACTCAGAATCTGTGTTAAAAGCGCTATCTAACTGTATTTTCAGAAAATTTCTAGAACGTCTTATCTTTGAGTAACCGCCACGTCCTTCGGTGACACTAAAATGTACTACAGCTGCACAAAGCAACTCACAAAGACTGTGGTAGAAGGAACCGATCTTTAAGCAGTGCCATAGTATTTCCTACCAAGTTTGTACGACCAATGTAATGGAAAACAGAGCAACAATATATGATGGAATACATATGAAATATTCGTTCCTTCTGCAGCAATCATCGTGGGTTGCTTTTTACAGAGTGCATTTTTGATGTTATTTAAGGATGTTACCGTTACTTAAAGGCAAGACCTAATGGAAATTTCTGAATATACAGTTAGAAAGCGATTTCAACGTGGATACTGAATAGGTATATGTTTATTTTTACAAACCATGTTGTAGCTGATGAAAAATGACGCGACATCTTTGCAGGAATTTTGGCATCCCCCGTTATCAACTTATTAAGCTAAGTTAGTTGAACCACACTCTAAATAGGTAGGTATATTGCCGAACTTGAAAAACATTTTGCACGCGTATGAAACATCATAAGCCACCCCCCCCTCGGACCAGTTGACTTTTTCGAAAAAATCCAAAAATGAGCTTTTAACATAGGAAGATGCCCCTAAGTGTCTTCTTTCAGGATATGTAATTTCATTAACGAAATACTTCGGGTTTTCAAGGACTTTATCCTCGAGATCCACGTGAACTGGCATATTTCTAGATTTTTTCGGTTTTTTAGAGTTCCGCGGTTTTTCATCTAAAGCAAAAATTAAACAAAAAAAATTCAATCTATGCACTACGAATCACCCACGCATTTGACTTCTACTTACGAGGGAAACTCCCGAGGTGTCCCCCGCAGACTTCAATGAAACTTTGCCTATAGATGCTACTTAGTGTCCTAGTAAAAACCCTAAACGGATTTTGGTGCAAATTGCCTCCTTCAAGAGTTATGACCACTTTACTGGATTTTCGCCCTATGTCACCGAGTTATTAGTCAAATGAAATAACCTAATTTCATCCATAAGTAGGTCTATAAAATTTTCAAACAGAGATATTGAATTTTTAAGAAATTTCGATTTTTCTAGTTTTTGGAAAAAATGGTCTGTTCCTTGAAAATTCAATATCTCCACGATAATGCATTTGTCTTATATGAAAATTTTAGGGCATTCTAGTATCGGGTAGACCTACTATCCGTTTCAAATGGTCAGACCGCTGGTTGCTTTTTGAATAACTTTTGATAGGAATGAGATAGAGACCTGCGATTTTGGCTGTTCAATAGCCAAGACTTGAGCAGAACTTTTCACAAGCGGAAGCAACTTTTGAAAAAATTCCTGAGATCGGATTCCCAGAGGATCTTTGAAAATCAGCTCCGTTCTCAGAAAACTAACATACAATGTTAGTAATTTCTCAGCTATCGTCGTTCGGACAGGGCTCGCTTTCCTCGAGCACGTGTCTATCTCCGAGCAGACATCTCTGGAAATCTCAAAATGCCATGGACTATAGGTAATCGACTACGCTGAGCATAGTGGTAACATTTGTTTTTGTGTAGAATTGAATATAACTTCGCCAGAGGCATTGTTATGAAAAACCGGTTTTTCGCCTGTTACTAGCAAAAATTAAAATCCCTATATCTCGATCAAATCTCATGCTGACTCAAGGAAATTTTCAGCAAACGCTCAGGACAGCTCATAAAACATAATCGAAGACGAAAAAGGTGAATGTGAGCTTCGCATTGGC